GCATTTATCCCGGGGAAATGTGTTGGTGCTGAGTGCTCCGCAGAGGGCGCACGGTGTCCTGGCCTGCCCTGGTCCATGGCAATCCGGCTGAAACGCTGAGGTGCAGCCCTGTCCCGGCGTGGCCCTGCCCCTGTCCTGCTCCAGCACTGGCTATGGTATGTCCAGCCTTCCTGCTGAAAAGATCCAACTGCTCCTTCATGCAGGAGGAGGGAAGACCATGACATTGTTACTTTGTGATCGTGGGAGTCACCTGCCAAACGGCCCTCGGGTTCTCATTTCTATTTCTGTATCCTATCCAAGGCCTGTTTAAAGAAGATGAAATACAGAGCAAACCCCGGTGAGCCTTGCTGCCAGTACACACTGTCTCATATTCCCTCTCTCTGGCCTTGCAAACCTAGAATTCCTTTCTCTGCTGTTTAAGTAAGCTGCACTCTGCAGGACACCCTTTGGTTAGGACAGGGAGGGAAGCAGGTACAAAGCTCTGCAGGCCAGAGAATGAACTGAATGTTACCTTTCCTTTTTTATTTTCCTCAGTGCCCAGTGTTTGATGAGTCCTGGTGGCCCATCCTCCTTACTTTGTTCTCTGAAAGATCACGGAAGAAAGGTGGGATGTCAGGTATGTTTCCTGGCATGTCAGTACTCAGCTGTCAGTACCCCTCCACAGCCACAGTCACTTCTATTTCCTGTCAGAGCAGTGGGATGCCTGGGTGTCTTCATCTGTGCTGTACAGGGAATCCCCATTTGCTGCCTAGGGAACTGACCTTGTTCCCACCACAGCAGTCAGGGCTTCACACCAGCAGCAGGAATGTTAAATATATCTGAAATTAATTTTTAAGTTGCTAAGCCCTTTGTTGCACTTCTACTTTTGTTGTCACACAGCAACATGTTTTGCTAATCCTAAAGTTACCAGCATTTCAGCATCTAGTGTCTCACAGAAATATTATATTTAGCTACAGAGAAATCTATAGAGCCTACAGTGGATTTTTTTTTTTTTTCTGATATTTTTTAAAAGCATCCTGAAAATTAACTCAAACTGAGGAAGCAGAAACTATTGCAAGAATTATTTGAGTTATTGCTACTGTTCTATCTTGGCTGTGGAACATCACAAACCCTGGACAAATGTCCAAATACAATATAGTTTGTCTGAATAAATTTCTAGGTGGATAAAAGATGTTCACTATGAAAAAATGTTCATTTAGAAGAACGTATGATTAGTCTAAATTTGACATAATCAAATATGTCTTGGGTGCAAAAAATATATTATCTGCTTATGCAAGCAAATGTGTGGTAAAGATGCTTCATTTTTATTCTCTGGGAAGCTTTTAGGCCACCTCAACTTTCCTGGACATCTGCTGATTTGCCTATAAGCAAATATAAAAATATTATCTTTATTTTACCTTTCAGGCTGATGGTAAGGATGTTACAGGTGGCCGCTGAACCCAGAGGGCTCTGTAAACCAGGGATTCCTTTTTGCCTCCGAGCTGCTGGGTCTGTCTGTCGCAGTGCCAGGGATGCACCCTGCAGCTGCTCCTGCGCGCAGGGAGGGCCGGCAGCGGGGCTGCGGCTCCGGTGTGTGCGAGCACAGCCCCCGGGATGCCCATTCCTCACCCAGGCAGTGCAGATAACCCAGCCCTGCGGCTCCTCTCCCCGGGTCCGGGCTGGGGGTCCCGAAACAAACCCCACACCCTCAGTCTCTGGTTCACAAGCTCAGCCACATTCACGGACCGCCAAACATCGGCGCGGCCTCCAAGTCCGCCTAACACCCCTGCCCAGACCCGGACCCTCTTACCCGGACTACGGATCTCCTCTACTCGACGCTATCGTGTCTCAAAGCTTGCTGGCGAGGTTTACGTGCACACCCCCAGGGTTAAACTGGACCTGCAGTCCCTTCCCGCCTGCTGCCACTCACACCTTGTGGCACCCTCACACAGCGCAGAAATCCGCCCCGGGGCAGGGACGGCGCGGCGGTGGCCAGGGCTGAGCGGCAGGGCAGGATTTAAGGCTCCATCGCCGGGGCCGCCCCGCCGGCCCCGGCTCCGTAGGTCGGTGCTGCCCGGCGGCCGCACCAGCTGCGCT